TGGGAAAGAAAAAAATATGGAAAAAGTGATAAAATACAGTCTTGGAACCCTATCCTGTCCACGCACAGAGGAAGCGTCCCCGTTCAAAAACCTCACTTGGAATCGTCCAGCACATTAAATGGCTGTCTATATTCTAGCACTGCATTTTTGCAGAGCTTGTCCAAAATCTGCCTCTCCCGCAACTGCAGTTAAAGGCCTATTCCAAGCTGCAAAGAGGCCCAGACCTCACAAGGACATGCTGGATTATTCATTTGAGTGTATGAGTTTAGGGGGAGGGATATGGGAGTGTTAAGCCTATCAGGGTGTAATATTAACTAGGAGCATTCCCAAAGTGGTCTGCAAGAGAGGGAATCACCCACCCTTCCAGACTGCCCACAAACCTCTAACCCACATCCATCAAAGGATGCACTGACTATTGTGAAGCTTTAATTGTTGTGAGCCTCCTTACGTTCCCTATGGGGAACAAGGTAACATATACATATATAGATAAGTAATACTTTGGCTTTTACCACGCTGAGACAGATTAATAAGCTACCTCTTTGCAAAAGGAGCAAGACTGACACAGACTATTTCTGTATGCATCAGTGGGCAGGGCATGCAACTGGGAGAAGAGCTTTTCCGTCTAGTTTTCTGCAATTTATTTCCGACAGCTTAAAAAGCCTCCCCGACTGCCCAGAAAGAAGGGCGTTGCACTGTTGTGCCAAAAAGAGAATTAGTAGGGTATGTATTTGGGGAAAGAGGGGAGTAGAAGGGAACTACAAGTTTAGGCTGGAAGAGAGACAGCTAAAGGTGCCAGAAATTTTACAACTAAGCATGACCACAGTTATCATGCAAAGTTACGGAAGAAATGAAAGCAACATCAAGCAGGTTCATCTTATGGCACACCAACACCATTCCACTAGGTTAACAAAACCCTAGAAAGTGCTCCTCACTCCAAGGTGAGAAGGGAGAAATTCAGAAAACACTGTCAATATCACCCTGGCTTCTTTTCAGATCAACATGATTTCATTTCTGGGCAAACCACACCCACCCCAAAACTACAGTGCCCATCACCCTAACCCTGTCCTTTCTCTCTGGGAACGGTAATTGGAGAGGTAGGTGACTGGATTTATCACACTTCTCTATTTCCCCATGTTGTCTCCAAGGATCTCAGGGGAGATTTAGGTTCTTTCCCACCTTCCTTCTGTTTTTGCAATCACTGAAAGTGATGTGACTGGGCTAAGATGCTGGGGGGGGGGGAGTTCATCATCCCTTTAACTATGTGCTGTCAGGTTGACTAACTTACAGCAAACTTTTCCTGGGTTTTCTAGGGACAGAGTACCCAGAAGTACTTTTACCATCCGCTTCTTCAGGGGCCAGTTTTTCTCCCTGGAAACACAGTGGAGAACCAAACTTGCTGCTTCAGCCAAGGTTATCATCATATATCTCATGGCTGAATGGTGATCTGAAGTTAGGTCTCCCTAATTACCATTAAGCACTACATCACAATGCAAGAGTTGTGAATGATTCTAATTCTTTAATAAACAGCCTTTTAAAATTAGAGGGCTGGTTAATTCAGTACTTTAGGTATCTTGACTGCACAGCCAGAGGTTTGCAAGTTCAATTCCCTGCTGTGCCTCCAAGGGCAAGAACCAGCCTGTGTGACCTTGGGCAAGCTGCGCAGTCCCAGGATGCCCCCACAATTAACTTGACACAACACATAATGATGATGAAGACTCACTTGGAATCGTCCAGCACATTAAATGGCTGTCTATATTCTAGCACTGCATTTTTGCAGAGCTTGTCCAAAATCTGCCTCTCCCGCAACTGCAGTTAAAGGCCTATTCCAAGCTGCAAAGAGGCCCAGACCTCACAAGGACATGCTGGATTATTCATTTGAGTGTATGAGTTTAGGGGGAGGGATATGGGAGTGTTAAGCCTATCAGGGTGTAATATTAACTAGGAGCATTCCCAAAGTGGTCTGCAAGAGAGGGAATCACCCACCCTTCCAGACTGCCCACAAACCTCTAACCCACATCCATCAAAGGATGCACTGACTATTGTGAAGCTTTAATTGTTGTGAGCCTCCTTACGTTCCCTATGGGGAACAAGGTAACATATACATATATAGATAAGTAATACTTTGGCTTTTACCACGCTGAGACAGATTAATAAGCTGCCTCTTTGCAAAAGGAGCAACACTGACACAGACTATTTCTGTATGCATCAGTGGGCAGGGCATGCAACTGAGGGAAGAGCTTTTCATTCTAGTTTTCTATTTATTTCCGACAGCTTAAAAGCCTGTCCAACTGGCCAGAAAGAAGGGCGTTGCACTGTTGTGCCAAAAAGAGAATTAGCAGGGTATGTATTTGGGGAAAGAGGGGAGTAGAAGGGAACTACAAGTTTAGGCTGGAAGAGAGACAGCTAAAGGTGCCAGAAATTTTACAACTAAGCATGACCACAGTTATCATGCAAAGTTACGGAAGAAATGAAAGCAACATCAAGCAGGTTCATCTTATGGCACACCAACACCATTCCACTAGGTTAACAAAACCCTAGAAAGTGCTCCTCACTCCAAGGTGAGAAGGGAGAAATTCAGAAAACACTGTCAATATCACCCTGGCTTCTTTTCAGATCAACATGATTTCATTTCTGGGCAAACCACACCCACCCCAAAACTACAGTGCCCATCACCCTAACCCTGTCCTTTCTCTCTGGGAACGGTAATTGGAGAGGTAGGTGACTGGATTTATCACACTTCTCTATTTCCCCATGTTGTCTCCAAGGATCTCAGGGGAAATTTAAGTTCTTTCCCACCTTCCTTGTTTTTGCAATCACTGAAAGTGATGTGACTGGGCTAAGATGCTGAGGGGGGGGGGAGCTCATCATCCCTTTAACTATGTGCTGTCAAGTTGACTGACTTACAGCAAACCTTTCCTGGGTTTTCTAGGGACAGAGGACCCAGAAGTGCTTTTACCATCCCCTGCTTCAGGGGCCAGTGGAGAATCAAACTTGCTGCTTCAACCGATATATATCTCATGGCTGAATGGTGATCTGAAGTTAGGTCTCCCTAATTACCATTAAGCACTACATCACAATGCAAGAGTTGTGAATGATTCTAATTCTTTAATAAACAGCCTTTTAAAATTAGAGGGCTGGTTAATTCAGTACTTTAGGCATCTTGACTGCACAGCCAGAGGTTGCGAGTTCAATTCCCTGCTGTGCCTCCAAGGGCAAGAACCAGCCTGTGTGACCTTGGGCAAGCTGCACAGTCCCAGGATACCCCCACAATTAACTTGACACAACACATAATGATGATGAAGACAAGGATTATTTAATTTAGGACTTTGGGAACTACTTTACACCTTCAATTATCTTTCTTAGTATTTCTTAACTGATAAGTGGCTTTTCAGGGTCTCCCCCAGGGATCTCCCCCGGTCCCACCTTGCAAGTGTCAGAGATAGATTCAACCCAGGATCTTCTGTTAAAGGCTGTCCTTCATTCGAAATAAATCAACATTCTTAACCTGAACCTCGTGGTTCTCGGTAAGAACACAAGGCCGGGCAGCTCTGCCACATTAATGATCCGATCCTTGATGCCCTTTTGCAGAGCATTATCTGCATCAAATCAGCTGGTGTATCTTCTGGCTGCGACCAGGAGCTCCATCCACACCCTCTTTCCCAAAAACCGAGGAAAATTAAGGCTCCCCCGCTTTCACCCCCCATCAATGAATGACCAGGCTGGCAGAGGTAGTGGGGGTGGGGGGGATCACGGCCCAACCCCATCCGGAGGGCTAAAGATTTTCCCCACCTCGGTCACCCAGGGGAAGAAAACCAGGCACAAAAGGAGGGCTGGTTTCGGAGGCCTCGCTCCGTGGGAAAGGCGATTCTCTGATAGTCTCAGCATCAAGAAAAGTTTTTTTCTTTTAATACCTGTCTTCTACTTTGTTTACAGGGATAATTGTTCATCATGTCAAATGAGATTTTGTCTGAGTCATTTTAAATGACACACACAAAGAAAATCTCAAGCACTGCAGCATCATGGTGGAAACTATTCCCCCCTCTTTTTAAAACATGCTTATTGCAAGACAATTATCTTCAGTGTCTCAAGCACTTCTGAACAATCCTTTGATGGCATATTATTTATTCTTTTCCAAGCATTATAGTTAAGATGGATTTCATTTTTCCTGTTGGGATAGAAGAATACAAAGATAATGTGCTCCTTCCAAATTGTTTTAGAAGAAAAAAAAATACTCAAAGGACATCATAGCATATTCTGAAGATCCTTCGTTCCAATTTAACCATTAATCCTCATACCTCCTCCAGCGGCAGCAGCTTGCCGGCGTAGAGCTGCTTCAGCCCTTCCGAGACGGTGCGGAACAGCTCGGGCTCCTTGCGCCGCCGCGCGTCCCGGCTCACCCAGCTGAACATGGCCGAGCCGTGTCCCGCTGCGGGCGAGGGAAAGCAAGGGGAGTAAAAACCCGGGTTCAGACGCGCGCGGCTCTCCCGAAACACCACCCGGCCGCCAGCGGAACGGCTCCGGCACGGCACGCGGCGCCCCGACGCCTCCCTTATATAGGCCGCGCCGCGCCGCCACGCCCAGCCAGGAGCTGATTGGTGCCCTTTGGCCGGCTCTCCGCCTCCCTCCCTCCCTCCGGTTCATTTGTCTCATCTCGTCCCCGCCCTTTTGCCCTCAGACTCCGCCTTTTCCGGCCAGCAGCAAGCCACGAGCGCAGCACATCCGAAGCAACGTCACGCCCCTGACGCCGGGATTATCGTAGAGATACGAAAATAGTAAAGGTGAACGCGGCCTCCGTAGATCTATGATTGGTAGAAGTGGCTTAGGATCAGGGCAGCAGCCGAGTATTCTTTGGTTGTGTGAAGAAACGAAAGCTCCCATTGCCCACCGGCCAAGCTAGATGGAGCTTCCGGGCAATGGAGTTCAACAACATCTGGAGGGATACTCGTTCCCCCTAGCCTTATTCTCTGATGGCGAGCTGAAGAACCCTTTGGCAATGATCAGGTTCAGGAGGACTCTTTCACCCCCTTCTGGGGCTTCCAGAAGTTAAGCATCTGGAGGATCAGATTTTCCCCACCGCTGCATCACGCTTGTTGTTATGTGCCGTCAAATCATCTCCACCTTACGGTGACTCTATGAATGAGTGATCTGTCCTTAACAGATCAGCTCTTGCAAATGTCCTGTCCTTAACAAATCAGCTCTTGCAAACTCAAGCCTGTGGCTCGCTTTATTTGGTCTTCCTCTTTTCCTGCTGCCTCCCAACTTACCCAGCATTATTGGGTGTTTTTCCCCCCAGAGAATCCTGCCCTTTAATAAGGTGCACAAAATAGGGCAGCTTCATTCAACATTTTTGCCTCCAGAGATAGTTCAGGCTTGGTTTTATCTAGGACTCACTAGTTCGTCTTTCTCGGCTTACATGGAAGAAACTGTTGGTAAAGCTATGTGCCAGATTTCTCAAAACAGGTCTGTTCCCCCCCCCCTCA